AAAGGGAGAGAGTAAGAAATGATAGTGTTTGAGAGAATTTAATGGTAAAGAAACACCTTGAGAGACTAATTAACAGATAATAGAATAAGAGGGTATGGATATGTTTTAAGAATGGAAAAAGTAAGAAATCCATAGGTTTTGAACATAACAATTATAGGAAAGTGTTAAAGAAGGGGGTAAAGCTCAAGATGGGAAGAAATTGATGGGGTGCCATGAGAAGACAGATAAAAATTTGTGCATTGTGTTGTGAAGACTTTCTTCACATTCTGTATATCATGATCACTTATCTCACACAAAACACTGGAAATATGTAGGATTTTAGGTTTTCATGGTGGTGAATCTGAAGATGGCTGTCTTCAACACTGGAAATACTTTCTTCATGCACTTACTTTTCAGTCTATAAGGTCTATATAATAAACAATGTTCCGCCTATATCAAATTATGCTATGCTCAATTTTTATAGTTGCACACTTCAGTATAATAGTCCATGCCTTTATCCATTGCCCATTTTATTGTCATAAAATGGTTTTTAGAGAGAATATGGTGAGTTCTAAAGGAATGAACTTTTGTAACCACATTGTAGTAACATATGTACAGTTTCAATGCCTCTGTTTATGATGTTCCTGGTTTAATGTCAAAATTATGTCTCAGAATAGAAAAATAAAACCTCTTCTCCTTTTCTCCCGAAATTTAAAGAATCGGCTGTATTAAAATAATATGAATACTTACTTGTTCATCATTTTCTTTGGCCTCCATCTAAAGCTGTGTAAATTTTTGTAATATTGCAAGTTCTTCCACCCCCTGATTGTTTCATATTTGTGTCTAGTAGATACTTTATTCCTGCCATCCAGGAACATAAATTATTGTTAATGATATATATTTCCTGGTGGTGTCACTAATACTGTTGATTCAGCTGTTACTATTCACATATATTTCCAGTTTAAATTCACTGTGATAATGTTTTTTTCTGAAAAAATGTTTTTATAAACCTCATATTATGCATTCTTACTTACTTACTTCATGGAGCTGAGTCCCCAACATTTTATAGAACCCAATGGTTCATTACTATGTTCACAGGAGCCTGCCACTGGCCCCAATCCTGAACATATATATTATGCATCCTTGTCTTAGGAAATCAAAATAACCCCATTTTCCTGACCTGGGAAAAGAATTGTAATTCATGTTTGTGAATCAGGACAGTTTTTTGGTGGCCTTTGTTCCCATAATCTCCTCTCTAAAACAGATAACTTTGATCTTGGCGCTGTTCTTTTGTTGTGCTTAGTTTCAAAACCACAGGAACCATCATTACAGGGAATCAAACACATGACACTTTTTTTGGTGTTTTAACCATGCATATCAGTTTATCTCTTCTTGAGCTATAAGTGAACTTAGCATACATACATATTTGTATATATATAAAAAACACATAGATAGTGGAAATATCAGTGGATTATGGTGTTTTTATAGCATATATAGTAATGCTTCAAAATTTTCAGTGCATTTCAAAAATCATTTCTGAAACCACCCTTAACTTCCTGGCACTGTAGACTCCTTTGCAAAAGTCAACCCACAAATATGAAAGCAGTTTAAGAAAGAAGAGTAATAAATTATTTTTATTTTGATCATGCTGCATTATCTTTGCTTTCAGATGCCAGAGCTCTTTGACCCAGTCACCTACATCCAGAAATGTCAAGAGTTGGAAGGTTCTAGCATAGTTTTAAGTGCAACAGAAACCGAGTCTACTGATTGTGAATAACAGTTCATGCGGATTCAAGACTGTATGTTTGCTGCTTAGTTCTCATAAGTTGCTTCAAATTCATTATTTATTTAAAATTAATAAAAAATTATTCATACTGGATGATTACTTTGGCATTTCATGAAACAATACAGTAACACAATAATGCATTTGGGTACTCGATTCTTCTCTTAGAGCTATGCCATTTAGAATTGCTGATAATAATTTGTCTGTTAATGAAACAGTGTATGATACATTTGAATTTCCTATTTATTTATTATATTAATTTATTTCAATTTCAGATGTAATTTCCACCTGTTTACATTGCTATAGTGGTAGTATAACTTCATTAGTAGTATACTGTTTAATTTGTAAAAAGATAAATTTATAATTTATTCTGTTAAGAACTGTAAATACATATGCCAAAATTATAATCCAAAGGTTACATAAGCTTTGATATGTATTTTTTAATGATCCCATTTTATTTCTTAACATTTTTAAGGCATGTCACTGCAGAATTGGTAGTGAATCGGGCAGTAGAAATTATATAAATGCACATAACTATGCTGTTACATTAAATTTCATTTAACTTAAATATTTCCCAAAAAATCCTTGATATTATTATTTTCATCTAGTATGTACAGTGAATTCCTCCGACTGAATTGCCTGACCATTTTGCCGTCAGCGTCTGCACCAGAACATCACCCATCGTCCTCCAAGAAAAGAAGTTAGTATGCCATGCATTATAAGCACACACATCTCTGAAACTAAATAAATTGTTTAAAATACTCATCAATACAGTATATGGTCTAAATGTCTACCATCTGCTCTTCAGTACTTCAAATTACTTGAAACAACTGTTTGACACTTGAAAGATGTAATTGTGTTAGCCAGTGTGTGTGCATTATTTGAATACACGTTGTCTTAAAGATTGAAACATTTTCATCAAGACATTAATCAAATAAGTTGAGAGTAATGTAGCACCATCTTGTATAAAATAAACATGTATTTTCTTTCATAATGCTTTTAAAAAAGAATCAAAACATGTCACTGACTTCCTACTCTAAATTGACAGTGTTTTAAGAAAATGGTACCTATCCTTAGAAGAAAAGATAAGGGGGCACTTCAAAAATGTCTTGGACTAATACTGCTCTAATACCTTTTGATTAGAGCATCAGTATAACCATTCAAGTGGAATCAATCAGTAAAAATGTAAGTTTTAGGCCAAGAACACCATCATGTACTGCTTGCAAAACCAGTTACAAAAATGTTCTCTTATAATTGCTTTCTTCAGTTACTTGAAGTCTGGCTCCATTTTCGTCAAGCATTTCCTCGGTCAGTGCATTTTGTCTAGTATATTTCTTGTCTGAGACAGATCCAGCTGAATGAACTTTTAGTAATTTAAAAATTTATGAAGCAGGAACGATAACCAGGATATATTTGGAGAAATCTTCTTTTACATAACAAAAAGGATTTCCTTTTCACATAACTGTCTTGTAGAAGAATCCCCCTGTTGAAGTGTGTATTTCACAATCTTTGTTTATTTATGTAAATGAGAACAAGAAATACTTATGAAAGATCTTACAAGAACAGAAACACAAAGAGAATTGATCTTGATATGTCAATTGCATGGGCAGTGATAGTTGTAAAACATGAAAGATACCACACAGTAAAGCAGCTGATAGATCACCATCTCTATGCCAGCCCATGTGCTGTGTATAGCACTGCTAGCTACCGCCAGCACATTTTTACCAGAGCTGGGCAAACCTGTGTATAGCACTGCTAGCTACCGCCAACACATTTTTACCAGGTCGGTTTGGTCATTTATGGAATTCCTTGTAGATTTGACATTTGATTGCAGTGTGCGTGTGTTCAGTTGGAAGTAGCATGAACAGAATAAGCAGGTTTCTTCCAAGTATTGTTCCCCCAGATTCTGTCACTCACTTCTGTATCTTGCACACATCAAATTAGGGCATGATACCCTAAGCTATGTCAAGATTCAAGACTCTATACAATAAAAAGTAAAAAAGAACGTATTATTACAATATAACAGAAAGTGTAAAGAAAAAGTAAACTACACATGCATTCTTAACTTACCTTTAACATTCATTAATGTAATGTCATTATATGTTGTAGCGAATCGGCTGCGTATTACATTATGTGATATTAGTGCTTTGGTAGCATTTGATTGCTAGACCATCAATTCTGTGAATGTTGCCTTAAAAATGGTATTGCAATACATTTTGATAAATATCTTGTGTAATGATAAAACTAAAAAAACAGATAGTGTAGTAATTTTTAAATCATTTAACATATGAAAAACTTGTAGTATTAAAAATAGAGCCTATATTCAGGTTTAAACCCAGAACATTGTTTTTCATGTGGTGATGTAAATGGTAATTCAACAAAGAAATTTTTAGTTTGGTTCTATATGAGACTGAGTCACAATGCCTGAACAAAATCTTATATTGGATACATTTTTAACTATGTTTCTTGAAAAATGTATAAGCATATTTTTTAAACAAGAAACAAAGTGTGTCTCCATTACTGAGTTTGTGGGAGGCAACCATATTCAACATATTACAAGCTGAATTACAATCTCAGTGCAAACAATGGTATTTGTGCACATTGTCTTTTCTAGTCTCTATTCATCATAAAACTTTTTCTACTGTATGCACTTATTTAAGTTGTCCAGATTAAACATGATTTTAAAAATTCCACATTTTATTGTATTCTTCAAACTCCTTTATCATATTCAACATTAATACTGATGCAATTTCTTCATTAATAATAGTCATGGGAAGTATGGCAGTCACTAGGTATTATGATGTTAGGAACTGTATCAAATTTATAATGCATACTACATATTCAATATAGGATTGGACATGAAATGTAATATTAATATTTAATTTGTGTAAATAAATTGCAAAGCTGTGAACTGGATTTGACTGTCACACGATGGGGTCCATTGATAGGCCTTTGTAGTGACAGTGACTTTTCAAGTTCCACAACAAGAGATTTTTTTAAAATTAAGAACTTCAATTGTATGAGAAGATTCTGTATATAGGAATTACTTATTATCAGATTTAATTTCTAAATTATCCTATTCCGCTCCTGTTAGTTTTAATAACTTTAGTGTGATGTGGCTGCCCATATCAGGCATAGCCATGGATTTCTTGGACTTGGTTCTGAGTTATATTTCTGCTTTAGTGTGGATGTTTGTGTGCATTTTGCCACTGTCAGTCACTGTACCAAGTGCCATAATTACAGGAATATGGGGGTTCGCCATGCACTGGCTTCCCATCCAAGTAAAAAATTATCAGATAATAAATTCTGATGGTGAGTTCTAGGACTGAGTACAACCACAGAGAGTCCAGGAAAAACTTCATGTAATGACTCATAGTAATATTCACAGAATAAGTAACATATTTAGGGTGTAACTGTTACATATTTTAATGCCACAGGTGTTCTCAGACTTTTTTGCCTCGTATTCCTGATGAAGTCAAACAAATGTGAATTAATGGTACCCTGGAAAGCATCTCGTGATACCACAACAGGTACTGGTTCTATAGTTTCAGAACTGCTGCATTAGGTAATAAGAATGGAATTATTTCTTCTGCATTTGTCTTCTTTTTCAAGACAGTTCTATATTAAAATACAGTGACACCATTAGAGCACTAGTGTTCGTCTACCAGCAGTACTAGCACTAAACCAGGAGTGGATATAAGTAATGTTTTATGTTTGGGAGTATTTTAATTTATTAATGTACTGAAGTGCCACATGGTGTGAAATATTTAAGTTATATTCTTGAGGGCAAATGGAAAGGCAAAGCTTTTGAGTATGTATCTGAGCTTAGTAACTTCTGCAGTATTTTTGTTCATAGTATACTTAACGACTCTTCCAGTAACTCAAGACTTCATAGCATTGAATGAGAGGATGATGATGATGAATTGGAATGGATGAGGAAGGAAGGGATCATGGCCTAATTTAACATTATGGCTTCAGAAACTATGAATTAATAGCTGCAAGTTCTAGTGATTAATTTTTTATAGTAATTTCCACAAGTAAAAATTTCAGACATGTTAAATTATCCATATATACTTTGAACATATATAATGCTCCCCATTTCTAATTGTTGACACATGAAATGTTTAATGTAAAACTTATTGGTATGATTATAGTCTCATTTAATATTTTGGAAATGTTATTTCTACATAAGATTTTGGGGCTCTGCATTAAGTTATACTTGTGCTGATTTCACCTTATATTGACATGTTTATAGATTCACCAAGTTGGTATTACTTGTGGAAATTGAGAAATATGCTGACACCAAGATTAATGAAAATCCTTAAATTGTTTAAATGTTAATGCAGGGGATGGTAAGATGAGCATATGACACAGTAAACCTGTCCATAATAAAACAGGCTAAAAATTATCCTTTTGTAGAAAGAAGGAAAAAATATGCCTATTTAAAATTTACTACATGCCCACATTAACTTATGAACAGATACTTGGACATGGACCAAAGCAGACAATAGCAGATTAATGGCATCAGAATTAAGATTTTTAAGGAGTAGGAAAAACCAAAAGTGGGAGTGTAAGAAATGATTACATTTGAGAGAATATAATGGTAAAGAGATATCTTGAAAGGCTTATTAACAGATAATAGAATAAGATGGTATGGACGTGTTTTAAGAATGAAAATAGGAAGAAATCTATAGAAAGTTTCAAACATGAACATTAAATGAAAATATCAAAGAGGGAGGTAAAGATCAAGATGGGACCAAGAAGTGAGAAAATATGTCTCATGGATATTGGAAAAACTACGGAGGAGGAAACAAAATTTGTGCCTTATTGTATTCAAAAGGCCTTGGTCACATTCTGTATGACATGATGACTTATAATATAGAACACAAAAAGTACTTTGCCATGCCTCAAGTAGTAAAAATTTTGATTGCACATATGTTTCTATCCATATGGTCTGTATAATGAACAATAACCCTCTAGCATCATTAGCCACTTTCATTGGCTCAAGAAGAAGGAAGGTAGAATGTGAGTCTCGTAAAACTGCTTACAAGGGTTATCATTTTTATTTATGCAATGCCAAGTGTCTAAATTTACTTATTTTGGAAAACTAGAATGTGAAGCTGCCATGTGTTAACTGTGGTCTCACATTTGTAATTATATAGCAAGAGGTACAATTAAGTGTGGGGGTGACAAAAGCATAAGTATTTCTGCTGAGGGAATTCCTATCAGTGCTTATATTTTATCTCTGTACCTTATTTATTCTGTAATTAGATGGTCTTCTGGATTGATGCACCTGTATAATCTTGCCTTTGTTATAATATTGTAGGTTAAAATTCAGTTGTAGAGGTTAGACACAACATAAAAAGCTTCTTAGGACAGTTGTTTTCATATTAAAGTAATTTGTTGGTAGAGAATGCTGTACAGCCCTGAATAATAGTTGCCAAACGAATTTGGTGATGTCCTGGCACTTTTCCTTGACAAGCACAGTTGATATGAGAAAGTTGATACATTGCATTTTAATCGTGTTTAGTATTGAGTTTTCTAATGAACTACCACCTTTATTATATTGCTGGTTATGATTTTGTATTGACATTCTTATATAGTGTTTGAACAGCATGGGTGTAAAACATTGTAAGCACATCTTTGAGCTTTCAAAACAAATGATTCAGGTCTGCTATCATAGTCTTTCACAACTGTAAAAATTATGCAATCAGTGTAACATGAACATGAATACATGGTACGTGAAAAAATTCCTGTATCTAAAAGAAATTGTATTTAGTACAAAATTGTTTTGACAAACGGAACTTAACATAGTCACCAAACTAGAACATATTAAAGTTCAATCATCAGTATGAAGTTGGATGTGTTGCTGGGTGTTGTCTGGTAAAAGTTCACAAACGTTTCAAGGTGCCTCCACAATCAGAGTGAAGAGTACAAAACGCAGCTTTCTCATGGCCATGGTGATGGCGGAAAGACAATCTGAAACGTCGGTAAATTTCTGCCAGTGTACAAGGCGAGACAACCCAGAGGATATCCATCTTCATATTCTGCACAGTGATATTCTGAAATCTCACAATTTGTATTGTGTTTCACTGTATGCAATGAAACTACACATTTATCCGGCGTTTTTATAATACTGTTACATTTTGCAAACATATCGTTCTTTCATATATCTTTGCAGATAAATATCTGTCTTCATGTTCATGCGCTACTTTTGTCTGGAAATTCGCGCATGCGTGTTGTATTCCTGAGTGTGCTGAGACTTCATTTTTTGGTAGGTTAGCTATGTCTGGTGTGGAGGCCCGTTGTGATTGGGATATGGTGTTATAATGTGGCGTAGACATTCGTGAACAAAGAAGAGGGCGAATGTAGTGCTATGCCTGGTTCGGATAGTGTGGGGTTAGATATAATTTTCGTTATTAAGCCAAACAATTTTGTAATAAACATGTTTGGATTGTGTGAGTAATTGTTCACTACGTCGTCGTGCTTGTGTTGCCGGTGGGTGGAACGACTGCACAAGAGTTGAATAAAACACCCGGGAATATTCGTAAGGTAACTTAACCATCAACTCATTCACATGTTTATATTATTCAGAGGATGTTTGTACATAATAATGAAGGTTTGTTAGTATTTCCTCAACTCTTTGGTGTTTTGGCTAGATGTAAATTTTCGTGTATATTTATAAGATAGGATACGCATGTGACAGTTTAACAGTCAAATCCAGTGCGTGCGTATTTTACATACACCGTGTACAGCTGTGCCAGTCCGGGTTCGTGGTTCGATTCCCGAACGTGCTGAACCTTGAGATCAGGGGTAAACCAGGCTTTGGCATATTAAATCTGCTTTATACAGAGTGGTTCAAAAGGTTCGGGCCAAACTGAAGGATCGTATAGAGGGACTCAGAGAGAACAACTTTCGAATAGGAATCCATGTCCTCCGAAGTTATCCTGAGTCAGTCGAGGCCATTGAAGGTATGGAAGTCTGATAACATACCGCTGAAATAATCGTACTTTGCTATTCTCCTACTAGACTGACAGCAGCAAAGAAGTATCTGAGAAAATGTTCGATTCAAACCTGTTGACAGTAAACGACATTTATTTAAATGCCTACCATAAAATTCTGCTGTTGACGGCAGATTGGTTGTGTACGGTTCGTTCATATTATCGTCCTTCTCTCAGTGTTTCCAATTGGCAATTATCGGCCACTTGAAATAGTCAACAGTAACGTTCTTTGTAAGATTTGAAGTTTTCACTACGGTGAGTTTGAAGATGGCTGTCTTCTGGGTTGTTGCGCCGTGTAGTCTGGTAGAAATTTACCGACGTTTCAGAGATCCATGCTGACTCCATCATCAGGGCTTGTCGTTCTTTAACCACTGGTGTTAATTGGGTTTGTTTGTTCATATTCACCTTCAGTGCTTGTTGGTATACAGTTTTCCAAATAAGTGCTACTAAAATTACTTTAAAAGCAAAAACTGTTTTTAATTGCGATTACGACCCAACGTTTCTGGAAGTGATATAGTCTTTGTTCAAATGTCATTAATTTAATAATTACCCGTGTTTGTATTTACAGCACAAAAAAGGAAGACTTGTACGAGTCTTGTGAGTCAGTTTCAGAGAGGTAGTTTTCAAATCATTAAAATTGTAATAATTGAAGTCAGTTACTCAGAAACCACCTACCAGCATATGACTGCTAAATTGTGTGACTAGTTCATTTCCTGGTAGTTCGCTGGCACGCCGTCATAGCGGCCCTAATGCTGTGAACTGCAAAACCCACAGTCCCTCCTGAGCCCTGCAACAAGAGTTGTGATTCTAATCTATGGTATGCAAACTTAATACTCACAGTTCTAGTACAATGCTGGTAATCAGTTCAACCAAACACTGTTACATGATAAATGTTGTAAATTTTTACATCCATGAACTACATAAAAAATGTCTTAATATTAAGTTTTTTTCTGTGCGGAATTTTTGTGTGGGCTTTCTTCATGTGCGCATTTATCTGGTCACCTGTTCGGTCATATTATCGTTCTTCTCTCAATGTTTCGCAATTGTCAGCCACTTGAAATACCTAGCAGTTATGCACTTTGTAGGATTTGAGGTTTTCACGGTGGTGAGTTTGAAGATGGCTGTCTTCTGGGTAGCTGCGCCATGTAGTCTGGTAGAAATTTACCGACGTTTCAGTGGCCCATGCTGCCTCCCTCATCAGGGCTTCTCATTCTTTAACCATTGGTGTTATATGGGTTTGTTGCTTGTTGGTATACAGTTTTCCAAATAAGTGCTACTAAAATTACTTTAAAAGCAAAAACTGTTTTTAATTGTGATTACGGCCCAATATTTCTGGAAGTGGTATGACTTTAAAAGCATAAACTGTTTTTAATTGCGATTACGGCCCAACATTTCTGGAAGTGGTATGAAGTCTCTGTTCAAATATGTCATTAATGTAATAATTACCCGTGTTTGTATTTGCAGCAGAAAAAAGGAAGACTTGTACGATTCTTGTGAGTCAGTTTCAGAGAGGTAGTTTCCAAATTGTTAAAATTGTAATCATTGAAGTCAGTTACTTGGAAACCACCTACCAGCATGTGACGGCTAAATTGTGTGACTAGTTCATTTCCTGGTAGTTCGCTGGCACGCCGTCATAGCAGTTTACACAAGTGGGACATAATATATATGGAAACACTGAATAGAGTGTGTATCTGGAAGGAAACGATTCCCACTTATTACGCTTTCTTTGCTCGATGTGCATGAAATTAACGTAAAAAGTGGTGGTCATGTCTTTCTGTCCGTTTGCAGAATTTTATTTTGTGTACGACTTGAAATTTCTTTTGGTAGAGCAGTATGGTTAGTGTGCCTACCCTGTAAGCGATAGGTTTCTGCGTCTATTCTCTGTCAGGAGCCACAATAATTTCCGTGGAAAGTATCGTGGTTCTGGACAATACGTGGTGGACATCATGTCCAGTTCATTCTGTTTCATCAACCTGTCGTCCTTTCTCGCACTGTAACCAAAACAGTTAACTGATTTTATGATGCAGTATCCTTTCTCTTCCGGAAAATTAAGGCGCCTTACCAGAATTGGACACCATCGCAAGTAATTTCAATCAGTTCCCACCTTCATATTGTTTAACGCCATTTGAACCAAATCGATCCTCTGTTTAACACCCAGATCTTCCAAGTGGGTTCTTCCCCTGATATTTCAGACCAAGATTGCGTGTGCCAGGGCTTCTCGACCTTTTCAAGACCGGGGCCACATTCACCCTTTCATATCGACTCCTGGGCTGCCTAGTTGTAAATGAGTACAATGTGTTGAAAATTCATGGCAGTTTACTGAAACTGCTGCTAATTGTTACAGACAGGTTCACATGTTTGGCCTACCCAGTAATGTTCTTTAACATAATTGCTCATTTGTTGTTCGCCGACAATTTGTGTCTGATTCTGTAAGTTAATAAGAAAATTTGATCGTTTTCGGGGTTGCACGACTTCTAATTCGATAGTAGACGTTAACCTGATGTCCAGAAAAGGGTTTTGCGATCAGACTTACGAAAGTTGCGAAAAATTACACTTAACTAACTAGATGGCTTACCGAACCCGAAAGTTCATCACCGAATTAACCAAAGCCCTCCACCAGACCCTGTCCTGGGCTAACAAAATCCAGCCTCCTTCAGCTCCTATCTCCCATACATCCCGCCTGAGATTATCCTCCCATCTACGTCTAGGTCTCCCCAGCGGTCTCTTCCCTTCAGGCTTTCCGACCCA